AGTCAGTGGAATACACATTACAGGGTGCCAGACTCGAAGCTGTCCTTGAAATAAGCGATTTCTAACAGTTCGTCGTCTGACTGTGGTACCAACTGTAGCTCGAATTTCTGCAGCAGACGCAGCGCGATGCGCCACAGCTGAACGCCGTATACGGCGGTCTTTCCTCTCAGTACTGCTACGTGGCCACCCGAAACCCAGTCTTCTTAAGGGAGTACCATCCATTAATCACTGCTCCCAGCAATCATGCCCAGTGGATACATTCCGGCCAAATCTTTCTGCAATATCGTGGAAAGAAAATCCACCATCTCGTACCCCTATTACACGTCCTAGTTTAATATGGGTGAGATGTTAATGGTTTCTTCGTCTTCTTAAAGACATTCTTGGTTAACATCAACTCAATACGTCAAATTTCACAGAGAAATAATGCTCGTGTATTTTACAGCACGCATTTAAAGCAACCCAGATTTTCGGCAAGCTCTGAGTGGCGCTACTTGAACCACACTTAAGCACGAAATTTGAATCGATGTCATCTTTCAGATGTAAAAACACGCCTACCAAATTTCGTTTATCTAACACAAGTCTTTCTTGGTGTTAGAATTTTTTTCTGTCAGTGTACACACCGTGTGCACTGCTGAAAGCTAAAATCATCTCTCATTGCAAACTTCTCAGCGCCTTGAGATCTCTCTTCAATATTTTCAAGCAATTGATTTTTGTTTATTGTTGTTTTAATAAACTCTAAATTACCTACCCAATTGCTCCCCATGTATCACAAACCATATCGCCCTCTCCATACTTGAAAAATGATTATTTTTCCTTAGCTCTGTGCAGGGTACGTTATTTCGTCTAATATGAAGCCAAAAATTCAAAATTTACTTTCATCTGAATAGATTACCTTTTACCAAAAAAATTTTGCGTCTCATTTAAGTGTTCTTTGGAAAAGGCCAAATGAGAGTGAGGAAGAGTTGTATTAATGTCGCACTATAAAGCAACATGAAGGCTATTGGCAGCAGACCTCGTAATTTTAAGCCTCGGTCAAGTGACAGGGACTGCACCTGATCTGGCACGTTACTCACTTAACTACTACACCAACAGAACTACATTGGGCCTTAACAGGTTTAACGTGCATCAACGTGCATTCAGTGGCACCAGAACCTGTGACACTCCAGCCACGAGTTCAAGACGATAACCACGAGGCTATCGCGGCCACAAAGTCAAATGAAATTTGACCATTGAGAGATGAATGGCTTCTGTGCAACTCAGCCATGATAGTCATGCTTTTCCAGTTATCTTCCAATTTACATTTTTGTAAAATTTCTCAGCAACATTTTTAACTATTTGTGTAACTGATATTTTTACAGAGATATTAAAAAGTGGGCTTCTCGAGGCAAACTTATTCATTTTCACTTTTTGAATCGATGAATGTTTCAACAATTTTTCGAGATATTTCTCCCTTTTCCAAAGATCTTTCTTTCAGCAATATCCATCCCTTTTCTGATGGAATGTATTCATAATTTCAAAACCTAAATAAATCGTAGTAGAAGCTAGCTTAAGAGAAACATGGTGCAATTATTTTACAATAAAAGGTGTTCTCTCTCTCTCATATATAAAAGCTCTTTTTTAAGTTACTTTTGGCGAGGGTGATTTGCGATCGCTTGGAGGTCATTATTGTTTTTTTGTTGTTTTAATCAGTTAAGCTTGACGGATCACTGGGAGGTATGTTAATTTTCCCAAGGGAGATTGAAATAATAATTTTAGAATGAACTCGTAAATTACTTCCCGTACGCAGAATTACGGCGATAAGTGTAATTAAAAGCAACTTTTTTAGTTTGAAAAACAACCAGCTTAATTCTTTAATGTAAATTTGATATCTAAATCAATGTCTCTAATTTGTACAAGTTTCAATATAATAGTTGGGGGAGACGAATATCTCTTCGCATACTGCGATTTAAAAAAAATTACTTAATCTTACCTTTTTCGAAATTCGTGATGTAATATACTAAATAAAAGAACGTATTACCTCTTTTCTGCACAATTCTGAAAACTATTTAAATACTAATATACTTATCTCCTCCTTTTTTGTCTACAGAATAGATTTTTAAAGATGTTTGTAATATAAAAAGATTTATTTACCATGATCTAGGTTAAAGAAATTTCTAAAGCAATTTATTTTTTGTTATTCCAAAAAATTTTTACAACTAACAACACATAACGAGTTTTCTTTTTGAGGAAAAATATCGCTCTCCATTATTTCAGGGCGTATGAATTTCTACGTTTTCGGAAGTTTCAAATATTTATATATATCAGGGGGGGGGGTCTAGGGCCGGACAAACCGGACTCCTGCCCGGATTGGCGGATTCTAAGGGCGGCATTTGGATCGAATTTGAAAAATCCCCTCTTTTTGTTGTTACAAAAAAATTTATATACTTTCTGAAATATTATTGGGTGTGAATTTAGTATTTCATTGAACGTATCTTACTTCCTTATTTTGTACTCTGTATGTTTAATGTCAGTTTTTTGTTACTTAAGAGTTCGGAGCGGGAGTGTATATGTTCTATCATGAAATTAGATAAGTTTACATATCTTTCATTGGTAAAATTTTCTCCCATCCCGAAGTATGTCACAAGGGATATTTCTTTCTCCCTTAAGACGTCCGGTGTCAGTTATCCAAAATATGACAGAGCAATAAGAGTTCTTAATTTTATTTATTTATTTTTTGTTGATAGAGAGTCACAAGAAATGTTTTATTTTAGTCTTGAGTGAGATACTATAAATTAAAATAAACGTTTGTGTTTGATCCCCACCATCAGTAGACTCTTTTCAGAAAATTTTATAATTCATATATTTATTAATAATTATATTTAAAAAGTATAAATATTTACGTATTTTATAAATATAATTATTAATAAATAATATTTATAAAAATATATTATAATAAATATTCAATTATATTTCATATAAAAATTAGTTACAACTAGTTTTATAATATGAAGTAAGATATATTATACATAAAATATTATATACAATATTATAAAAATACATAAAATATATTATAATAATTATTTATAAAAATATTTTTCTTAATATAATTAAAATAATATATATCTTATGTTATATATCAATAATTTAATTATTTTATAATCGTATAGAATATTTAATAACTTTTTTAAATTCATTTATTTAATTGAAAAAATAATTAAATGAATTTAAAAAAAAATAGATTGCGTGATTCGAACCGAGACCTGTCGCATGGTAAACAATTACTTTACCGACCACACTGCTGCGCAGTTGAAAGAAATTCAAACTTAATTGTATAAAAGCTAAGCATGAATTTTGAATGCTATTTTCTCCGAATTGACTGCCCATTCGGCGAAATTACATTGAGGGTTGAATACCCTTAAGGCGTACTACTACTGCACAAAGTCTCGTCCCGAAATGAATTTGCTTAGTCGTGCCCTCCCCCTTGTTAATTCGATTAACTATAAAAGGGTGTGTTTTTTAGTTTCTTTAAACTATAATTTATCTGCTTTTATCTTATCGGCATTGAATTCATTCGAAAAAATTTTTTAAAACATTCTACGTTAAAGTCAAAATAAGTCAAAATGTTCCGGTGTAATGAAACTTAAAAATTTATCCTTGCGCGTTTTTGTTCCCCTTTCATACCAGACATATGTGTTTGCGATATTTTTCAAATATAAATCTCTATGTGCATGGTTCTATGTAAAAAATAGTAAACACGTGAGCTTTCAAAATCATTCAAGGTATATGTATATGCTGAAAATTTGCTTTTCTCAGTAAAAAAAATTAAAAAAATCAAGCATTATAATATACAGGGGCTTAGCTATCACCGTATCAATAATACGGAGCCCCTAAACTGCAGGGGCTCTAACATGTGTAACTACAGTCCCACTAACAGGGCTCTTCATATCTGAAAAAGGGCTCCGAAGGAATTTGGGTACAGTGCCCACTTAGAGAACGCCAGTGATAATCTAGTAAAGAAAATAAAACATAATCTAGTAATTTCTCGATGTAATAGCTTACGTAAGGGTAAGGGTTTGTAAGTTTAAACACACTATATACATCAAATTTTAATTTTTAACATACGGATTATGTCTCGAAGCTTTTGTCTACGAGTTTTTTTAAAAATATAATCCCCTCCTATGAAAGTAGTCTGTGTGTTACTATGCATGCCCCCCCCCTCAATGTCTGCAACATTAGTTGTAGAAGGGCTCCATTTAAAAAAAAAAATCCCAACATTCTTATTTTTTCTTCGGCCTTTCTTTGCTTAAAAGTTTAATTAAGACAGCGCATAGAAAAGCTGTGTCAATAACGTCGATTGAAACCGAAACGAAGGTTTCGGCAAGTAGAAACATCGGAAGGCTGTGACGTCAGGTCACGCCACCGATAGAAAGCGGGTGATTCCATTCAAGGTCAAACACCTGGTTGGCAAATGGCAGTCGCGCTATAACGACGCATCTTAATCCAGAAGTAAACACTGGGTTTCCTCAAAAAAAAATAGAATTGAGAAGTTTTTATTTTTTGATTCTCGTGTCATTTAATTGCTGTACGTATTTAATATTTTCTAATTGGAACAGACCACACACTACACGATGTGCAATAAAAACTACGAAGTATATTTACCGTAAAATCCGGCGTATAACGCGCACTTTAACGCAAAAAACAAGTAATGTAAAAAAAAAAACAAAAAAAAAAAACATTTTTTAAGTCAATTCTTACTTAGGTCAACAAAGAAAAATTTTATTTGTGAATTTTCTTTTTGTTAAATAGTTACAATTAATATAAATATGTATATACATATGACAGAATCACGATATTATGTGCCAAAATAGAAAGCGATTTTCCTTGCAAATTTCATATATTTTCCTTTCTGTATATGTGTTGGACTATTTTTTGTCTGTTTGTTACTATCTATTCATTAATTAAATTTAATTATTCTAATAAAATAGTATAGTAAAAAAAGGAAACACATTCTCAGGAATTTCCATCCCAGCCGGGATTCGAGCCCACAACTTTGGATTACAAGTTCAACGCGCGATTCCTTGCGCTACAGGGACACAACGAACAATTTTTTTTCTATATTTACTGTTGGACAATTATTTTTGTGTTTGTTACTATGTATTCATTTTTTAATTTAATTAATGAATTAATATTAGAAAAAACTGTATTAACATCAAGTGACTACAAGTTTAAAAAAAATGTATTTGTGAACTTGAATGGATGAATAAAAAAATATTTTATTAACGACTGAAAAATTTGAACAACACACACATATATATATATAATAAACATGGCCGTTGAAATGGTATTTCCTTATAAGATTACTATTTATGACGATGGATGTTGCTTAATCAATATTATTGAGCAGGTAGTCTTGAGGTTAGTTATACCTGTTTATTGTACACTGAACATGCAGACACACATATGGACGGAATCACAAAGAAACATGCACACATGACAAAAATACACAAAGCACAAACCAAGTTGCAGCGGTCTACATGTTGAAGCAGACAAATACAGAAGCGAAAAAGGGAGCGGTCTCCAGGAATCTCAGTTTTTATAGGAGGCTCAAATCACATGATCTGAGTGGGTAGCTAGATGTAGTTTAAAATACTCTCGTTAGGCGGCTGGCTAATTTATTACTAAAATGTGGGTCCTGAAGGGATGGACCACAAATAGTTAAAAGTTATTTAAAAGGATTATATTACTGGGATTATTACACACACACACACATATATCTATATATATAAAGGAGAAAAGCGACTCACTGACTGACTGACTGACTGACTAATCACGAAATCTCTGGAACTAATCAACCTACAGACTTGAAATTTGGTAGACATGTTCCTTTGATAAAGTAGACATCAGCAAAGAAAGGATTTTCCGAAATTCGAAACGCAAGGGGCGTTACGGGGGGTTAAGGGCTTTAATAATAATTGTTTCCATGTTTAAACTACTTGATGTACAATCTTGAAATTGGGTAAGCGGATTCCTTTCAGAGAGTAGAGATCCGCTACAAAATGAGTTTGCTGAAAATCGACCCCCAACTGGCGTTGCAAGGGCTTAGGGGGCGTTATAGATAATTATTTCCATTTTTAAACTATTTGACGCACTGTCTTTAAATTTGATATATATAGATTCCTTTCGTAGAATAATGATCAGTTAAAAAACGGGTTTTGTGAAAACAGACTTCTAAGTGGCGTTGCGGGGGATTAAGGGGCGTAATAGATAACTATTCCCGTTTTTAAACTACTTCACCTACCTGCTTGAAAATTGGTAGGTGAGTTTCTTTCCTGGAGTAAATATCCGCTACAAAATGGGTTTTGGGAAAATTGACCCCCAAGGGGTGTTGCGGGGGCGGGGGGGGGTTTAAGGGGCGTTATAAATTCCTATTTTTAAGTTATTAGACGTACAGTCTTGAAACTTAGTAAACAGATTCCTCTCATAGGGTAGAGATACACTAAAAATGGGTTTCGTGAAAATTGCCCCCAAGTGGCGTTGAGGGGACTTAAGGGGCGTTATAGATAATTATTTCAATTTTTAAACTATTAGACGCACAGTCTTTATATTTGATAAAGAGATTTCTTTCATAGAGTAGAGATCAGCTATAAGAAGGTTTTGTGAAAACAGACCTCTAAGAGGCGTTGCAGGGGAATAAGTGGCGTAAGAGATAAATATTTTTGTTTTTAAACTATTTGACCTACCTGCTTGAAAATTGGTAGGAATGTTTCTTTCATGGAGTAAATATCCGCTACAAAACGGGTTTGGAGAAAATTGACACCCAAGGGGTGTTGCGGGGGGTTAAGGGCAGATATAAATAATTATTTCTTTTCTTAAACTATTAGACTCACAGTCTTGAAATTTGGTTAGCAGATTCCTCTCATAGGATAGAAATACACTGCAAAATGTGTTTTGTGAAAATCGACCCCTAGGTGGTGTTGCGGGGGTTCAAGGGGCGTTATTGATAATCTTTTGCATTTTTAATTAATTGGACGCACAGTTTTCAAATTTTGCTAAGCAAATTCCTTTCATAGAGTGCAATTCCTCTACAAAACGGGTTTTGTGAAAACAGACCCAGAAGTGGCGTTGCGGGGGCTCAAGTGGCGTTATAGACAATTATCCCCATTTTTAAACTGTTAGACGTACAGTCTTGAAATTTGATAGCAGATTCCTTTCGTAAAGTAGAGAACCGCTACAAAATTAGTTTCGCGAATATCAACTACTAGTTTTAATTTCGGGAGATTAAAAGGCGTAATCGATAAATATTTCCATTTTTAAACTACTTGATCATCCTGCTTGAAAATTGGTAGGCATGTTCCTTTCATGAAATAGAGTTCCTCTAACAAAGAGTAAAATGAAAATTGACCCCCAAAGATGTTTGCGAGGGGTCAAGAGGAGTTACAGAAAAAAATTCCTGTTTTTAAATGTTAGACCCATATACTTGAAATTTGTTAAGCATGTTTCTTTTGTTGAATAGGGAACCACTAAGAATAAATTTTAAGCAAATCAAGTTCTGGGGGGTTACTGGGACATATTGACAAAAAATTACTTTTTTCGAGCTACAAGGACTATAATAATGAAATTTGGTTTGCATTTTTCTTTTGTTGAATTGAAATCCGCTAAGAGCAGTAATTTTGGAAAACGGCTCTCAACGGGATTACGGGGATATTTATAGTAAAACTTTTGCTTTTTTCTGTTTAGATTTAGACTTGAAATTTGGCTTGCATGTTCAATTTACGGAGTAGAGATCCACCGAAAATTGGTTTTGCGGGAATCCACTTGGTTTTTGAGTTACGAAAGAGCAAACGTTATTCTATGCTTCAATTTTAGAGATTTTTAGAAAATACAAATTAGATGAGTTCTGCTCTTTTTTTTTATCAACAGGTGACAGTTACAGGTATAAGTATACTGGACGGCTGGCGTGTCCTGAGCTCGAGCCCAATACCACCGAAGACCCGCCGTGTTGTTAAGCGATGTACGTGTGGTGTGGTAGTTAGGAGAGATGATCCGGCTCAGGTGTCTTCTTCGTCACTTGACCGTGGTTCAAAATGAAGAGGCCCGTTGTCAAAAGCCCTCGAGTAGCTGAACAGGGCGACGTTGATATTCACCCACTCACTATGCCTGTTTCAATATTTCGCACTCTTCTTGTATCTGCAATAGACTGATGTAATTTTGTCCCCCTCCTCTGATCTTTTTCATAGGTATTTTTTTTCTAATTAATTTTAGTAATATTGAAGTATATTTTCTTATTCATGCATATTTTGCAATTCATTTCCTGTCTATCTCGGTGGAACATTTTGTAGCTCTCCAATTCAAAATTAGGGGTGATCTAAGGGGTGTGCCAATCCAAGATTAGGAGTGATTTGTTCCAGGGATTAAAGCGCGTGTTTGAGGTTTTTCCCAATATTTTTATAAAATTTTGAACGACTGCCGATCTACTTTTTTGTCCACGCCTCTGCTAGAGGTAAAAGTAAAGCATATAATTATATATATATATATATATATATATATATATATATATATATATAATTTAAATACATGTGTCCTTGAATGTAACGATAAGGTACATAAAGACATTTCCTTTACTCTTGCAGGGCCACTTTTAGGCTAAGGCACACTAGGCACGTAACCTTGGGCGCAAAAAATTGAGAAAAAAAAAAGGGAATATTAAAACGACCACCTAGCGAGTCATAAGAGAAGCAATTATGCCCTGAAGAGAATAAAGACTGAAATGAGGCCTTCCTTTGAAAAAGAAAAGCTTAACAGTTTGATGCTGCTATGTACTCACGGCAATGTATAGTGCTTTTAAAACTTTCACTATTGGCGACCGAATTTTCAATCGTAATTTTTATCGTGCCCTTCTTATACACTAAAGAGCCCCCCCCCCAAAAAAAACTGGTACACATGCTTAATATCGAGTAGGGCCCTCACGAACGCGCAGAAGTGCCGTAATGTGACGTGGTATGGATTCGATTAAAGTCTGAAGTAGTGCTGGAGGTAATTGACACCGTGAATCCTGCAGGGCTGTCCATAAATCAGTAGAAGTAAGAGGGGGTGGAGATCTCTTCTGAACAGCACGTTGCAAGGCATCCCAGATATATTCAATAATATTCATGTCTGGGGATTTTGGTGGCCAGTGGAAGTGTCTAAATTCAGAAGAGTGCTCCTGGGGCCACTCTGTGGCAATTATGGACGTGTGAGGTGTCGCATTGTCCTGCTGAAATTCCACAAGTTCGTCGGAATGCACAATGGACATGAATGGGTGCAGCTGATCACACAGGATGCTTACGCACCTTTCACCAGTCAGAGTCGTATCTAGACGTATCAGGGGTCCCACACATCACGGCAACTGCACACGCCCCATACCATCACAGAGCCTCTACCAGCTTTAATAGTGCCCTGTTGACATGTAGGGTCCATTGATTCATGGGAATGGCTCCATATCCGTGCACGTCCATCAGCTTTATTCAATTGAGAACGAGACTCGTCAGACAAGGCAACGTGTTTCCAGTCATCAACACTCCAATGTCGGTGTTGATGGGTCCAGGCAAGACGTAAAGCTTTGTGTCATGCAGTCAACAAGGGTACACGAGTGGGTCTTCGGCTCTGAAAGCTCATATCGATGATGTTTCATTGAATGGTTCGCACAGTGACACTTGTTGATTACCCAGCATTAAAATCTGCAGCAATTTGCGGAAGGGTTGCACGTCTGTCACGCTTAATGATTCTCGTCAGTCGTCGTTGGTCCCGTTCTTGCATGATCATTTTCCAGCCGCAGCGATGTCTTTGATTTGATGTTTTACCGGATTCCCGATGTTCATGGTACACTCGTAAAATGGTCGTATGTGAAAATCAAAATTTCATCGCTACCTCGGAGATGCTATGTTTCATCTCTCGTGCGCCAACTATAACACCACGTTCAAACTCACTTAAATCTTGATAACCTGCCATGGCATAGCAGCAGTAACCTATCTAACAACTGTGCCAGACACTCGTTATCTTATATAGGCTTTGCCGACAGCAGCGCCATACTCTGATTGGTTCCTAATCTCTTTAT